GCAAAAGTCGATTGTACATTGCATCTCGTCGTTTATTTAGAGATTTTTATCGGCTTTTTCACAGCGATCTCCAGTGGTAAAGACCTGCCTTAAATCTTTTGCGAATTAGATGGCTCTGAAAAGACTCGGACATCAGTTTTATAATTAGAAGAAGTGACGTGTAAAATCGTATTCGACATGTAGTTGTTTAGCAAGTTTATAGGCTCTATAAGATGACTCAGGCTTTGGACGGATTCGAACAAGCGATCTCCTGTTTACGAGACAGGCGCATTAACCACTATGCTACAAAGCCTTGGAAACATGGTCTTGAGAAGAATATGAGTTTTTTTTATTAAACATCTTTAGCGTTTTGTTATTTAAATTTTCATTGAGTTACCTTTTTGTGAAATAGAGTTAGTTTGTTTCTGTTTTTTTTATTTTATTCTCGATTTTTTGTGGGAAATCTTGCCTCCGCTGACCTGATGTTTATTGTGTATCAGTAGGTCGCTCACTTTGGCCAAAGTCGCGCGTAAGCATTGTATCTCGCTGTTTATTTAGAGGTTTTTATCGGCTTTTTGAAGCGATTTCCCTTCGTAAAGATCCGCCCTAAAACACTTGCGAAGTAGATGGCTCTGAAAACGCTGACTATAGTTTGCTAATTAGTAGAAGTGAAGTTTAAAAGTCTCCTCGACATGCGGTGTTTCTGCAAGTTATAGGCTCTGAAAAAGTTTCAGGCTTTGGACGGATTTGAACTATCGATCTCCTGTTTAAGATACAGGCGCATTAACCACTATGCTACTAAGCCTTGACAAGATTCTCTGAGAATAATGTGATTTTGTTTTTATCTAACCATCTCTAGCGTTTTCTTTTTTTAAGTTTCATTAAGTTATCTTTTTGCGGAATAGAGATACATTGTTTCTGTTTTGTTGCTTTTTTTCTCTATTTTTGTGGGAAATCTTGCCTCTGCTGACCTGATATTTATTGTGTGTCAATAGGTCGCTCAATTCGGCAAAAGTCGATTGTACATTGCATCTCGTCGTTTATTTAGAGATTTTTATCGGCTTTTTCACAGCGATCTCCAGTGGTAAAGACCTGCCTTAAATCTTTTGCGAAGTACATGGCTCTGAAAAGACTTCGACATCAGTTTTATAATTAGAAGAAGTGAAGTGTAAAAGTTTATTCGACATGTATTTGTTTAGCAAGTTTTTAGGCTCTATGAGGTGACTCAGGCTTTGGACGGATTCGAACCATCGATCTCCTGTTTACGAGACAGGCGCATTAACCAGTATGCTACAAAGCCTTGGAAACATGGTCTTGAGAAGAATATGAGTTTTTTATTAAACATCTTCTGTCGCGTTTTTTTATTTAAATTTTTCATTCAGTTGTCATTTTGCGTAATAGACTTTAATTGTTTCTGTTTTGTTGCTTTTATTCTCGAGTTTGTTTGGGAAATCTTGCCTCCGCCGACCTGATGTTTTTTGTGTATCAGTAGGCTGCTCAATTCGGCAAAATTCGCGAGTAAGCATTGTATCTCGTTGTTTATTTAGAGGTTTTTATCGGCTTTTTAAAGCAATCTCCCGTCGTAAAGATCCGCCCTTAAAACACTGGCGAAGTAGATGGCTCTGAAAAGGCTGACTTTAGTTTGTTAATTAGTAGAAGTGAAGTTTAAAAGTCTCCTCGACATGCGGTGTTTCAAATTTCAGGCTTTGGCCGGATTTGAACTATCGATCTCCTGTTTACGATACAGGCACATTAACCACTATGCTACTAAGCCTTGACAAGATTCTCTTGAGAATAATGTGAGTTTGTTTTTATCTAACCATCTCTAGCGTTTTCTATTTTTAAGTTTCATTAAGTTATCATTTTGCGGAATAGAGATACATTGTTTCTGTTTTGTTGCTTTTTTTCTCTATTTTTGTGGGAAATCTTGCCTCTGCTGACCTGATATTTATTGTGTGTCAATAGGTCGCTCAATTCGGCAAAAGTCGCGCGTAAGCATTGTATCTCGCTGTTTATTTAGAGGTTTTTATCGGCTTTTTCACAGCGATCTCCAGTGGTAAAGACCTGCCTTAAATCTTTTGCGAAGTACATGGCTCTGAAAAGACTTCGACATCAGTTTTATAATTAGAAGAAGTGAAGTGTAAAAGTGTATTCGACATGTATTTGTTTAGCAAGTTTTTAGGCTCTATGAGGTGACTCAGGCTTTGGACGGATTCGAACCATCGATCTCCTGTTTACGAGACAGGCGCATTAACCACTATGCTACAAAGCCTTGGAAACATGGTCTTGAGAAGAATATGAGTTTTTTTATTAAACATCTTCTGTCGCGTTTTTTTATTTAAATTTTTCATTCAGTTGTCATTTTGCGTAATAGACTTTAATTGTTTCTGTTTTGTTGCTTTTATTCTCGAGTTTTTTTGGGAAATCTTGCCTCCGCCGACCTGATGTTTTTTGTGTATCAGTAGGTTGCTCAATTCGACAAAATTCGCGAGTAAGCATTGTATCTCGTTGTTTATTTAGAGGTTTTTATCGGCTTTTTTAAAGCAATCTCCCGTCGTAAAGATCCGCCCTTAAAACACTGGCGAAGTAGATGGCTCTGAAAAGGCTGACTTTAGTTTGTTAATTAGTAGAAGTGAAGTTAAAAAGTCTCCTCGACGTGCGGTGTTTCTGCAAGTTTATAGGCTCTAAAAATTTTCAGGCTTTGGACGGATTCGAACCATCGATCTCCTGTTTACGAGACAGGCGCATTAACCACTATGCTACAAAGCCTTGGAAACATGGGCTTGAGAAGAATATGAGTTTTTTTATTAAACATCTTCTGTCGCGTTTTTTTATTTAAATTTTTCATTCAGTTGTCATTTTGCGTAATAGACTTTAATTGTTTCTGTTTTGTTGCTTTTATTCTCGAGTTTTTTTGGGAAATCTTGCCTCCGCCGACCTGATCAGTAGGTTGCTCATTTCGTGTATCAGTAGGTTATCAGTAGGTTTTGTGTATCAGTAGGTTGCTCATTTCGGCAAAATTCGCGAGTAAGCATTGTATCTCGTTGTTTATTTAGAGGTTTTTATTGGCTTTTTTAAAGCAATCTCCCGTCGTAAAGATCCGCCCTTAAAACACTGGCGAAGTAGATGGCTCTGAAAAGGCTGACTTTAGTTTGTTAATTAGTAGAAGTGAAGTTAAAAAGTCTCCTCGATGTGCGGTGTTTCTGCAAGTTTATAGGCTCTAAAAATTTTCAGGCTTTGGACGGATTTGAACCATCGATCTCCTGTTTACGAGACAGGCGCATTAACCACTATGCTACAAAGCCTTGGAAACATGGTCTTGAGAAGAATATGAGTTTTTTTATTAAACATCTTCTGTCGCGTTTTTTTATTTAAATTTTTCATTCAGTTGTCATTTTGCGTAATAGACTTTAATTGTTTCTGTTTTGTTGCTTTTATTCTCGAGTTTTTTTGGGAAATCTTGCCTCCGCCGACCTGATGTTTTTTGTGTATCAGTAGGTTGCTCAATTCAGCAAAATTCGCGAGTAAGCATTGTATCTCGTTGTTTATTTAGAGGTTTTTATCGGCTTTTTTAAAGCAATCTCCCGTCGTAAAGATCTGCCCTAAAACACTTGCGAAGTAGATGTCTCTGAAAAGGCTGACTTTAGTTTGTTAATTAGTAGAAGTGAAGTTTAAAAGTGTCCTCGACATGCGGTGTTTCTGCAAGTTTATAGGCTCTGTAAGTCTTTCAGGCTTCAGACGGATTCGAACCATCGATCTCCTGGTTACCAGACAGGCGCATTAACCACTATGCTACAAAGCCTTGACAAGATTCTCTTGAGAAGATTGTGAGTTTTTTTTATGTAACCATCTTTAGCATTTTCTATTTTTAAGTTTCATTAAGCTATCATTTTGCTGATTAGAGATACATTGATTCTGTTTTGTTGCTTTTATTCTCGATTTTTTGTGAGAAATCTTGCCTCTGCTGACCTGATATTTATTGTGTTTCAATAGGTCGCTCAATTCGGCAAAATTCGCTTGTACATTGCATCTCTTGGCGGATTCGAACCATCGATCTCCTGTTTAAAAGACAGGCGCATTAACCACTTTGCTACAAAGCCTTGACAAGATTCTCTTGAGAAGATTGTGAGTTTTTTTTTATGTAACCATCTTTAGCATTTTCTATTTTTAAGTTTCATTTAGCTATAATTTTGCTGATTAGAGATACATTGTTTCTGTTTTGTTGCTTTTTTTCTCGATTTTTTGTGAGAAATCTTGCCTCTGCTGACCTGATATTTATTGTGTTTCAATAGGTCGCTCAATTCGGCAAAATTCGCTTGTACATTGCATCTCTTCGTTTATTTAGAGATTTTTATCGGCTTTTTCACAGCGATCTCCAGTGGTAAAGACCTGCCTTAAATCTTTTGCAAATTAGATGGCTCTGAAAAGACTCGGACATCAGTTTTATAATTAGAAGAAGTGACGTGTAAAAGTGTATACGACATGTAGTTGTTTAGCAAGTTTATAGGCTCTATAAGATGACTCAGGCTTTGGACGGATTCGAACAAGCGATCTCCTGTTTACGAGAAGGGCGCATTAACGACTATGCTACAAAGCCTTGGAAATATGGCCTTGAGAAGAATATGAGTTTTTTTTTATTAAACATCTTTAGCGTTTTGTTATTTAAATTTTCATTGAGTTATCTTTTTGTGAAATAGAGTTAGTTTGTTTCTGTTTTTTTTTTTATTCTATTCTCGATTTTTTGTGGGAAATCTTGCCTCCGCTGACCTGATGTTTATTGTGTATCAGTAGGTCGCTCAATTTGGCCAAAGTAGCGCGTAAGCATTGTATCTCGCTGTTTATTTAGAGGTTTTTATCGGCTTTTTAAAGCGATCTCCCTTCGTAAAGATCCGCCCTAAAACACTTGCGAAGTAGATGGCTTTGAAAACGCTGTCTATAGTTTGTTAATTAGTAGAAGTGAAGTTTAAAAGTCTCCTAGACTTGCGGTGTTTCTGCAAGTTTATAGGCTCTGAAAATCTTTCAGTCTTCAGACGGATTCGAACCGTCGATCTCCTGTTTACAAGACAGGCGCATTAACCACTGTGCTACAAAGCCTTGAGCAGGTCCTCTTAAGAAGAATGTGAGTTTTTTTTTTTGTAACCATCTGTAGCGTTTTCTTATTTTAGTTTTCATTAAGTTATCATTTTGCGGATTAGAGATACATTGTTTCTGTTTTGTTGCTTTTATTCTCGTTTATTGTGGGAAACCTTGCCTCTGCTGACCTGATGTTCATTTTGTGTCAGTAGGTCGCTCAATTCGGCATAAGTCGCGAGGAAGCATTGAATCTCGTGGTTTTTTTACAGGTTTTTACCGGCTTTTTTAAAGCGTCTCCTGTCGTAAAGATCTGCTCTAAAACACTTGCGAAGTAGATGGCTCTGAAAACGCTGACTATAGTTTGTTAATTAGTAGAAGTGAAGATTAAAAGTCTCCTCGACTTGCGGTGTTTCTGCAAGTTTATAGGCTCTGAAAATCTTTCAGGCTTCAGACGGATTCGCATCATCGATCTCCTGTTTACAAGACAGGCGCATTAACCACTATGCTACAAAGCATTGAGAAGGTTCTCTTGAGAAGAATTTGAGTTTGTTTTTTTTTGTAACCATCTGTAGCGTTTTCTAATTTTAAGTTTCGTTAAGTTATCTTTTTGCGGATTAGAGATACATTGTTTCTGTTTTGTTGCTTTTAATCTCGTTTTTTGTGGGAAATCTTGCCTCTGCTGACCTGATATTCATTTTGTGTCAGTAGGTCGCTCAATTCGGCATAAGTCGCGAGAAAGCATTGAATCTCGTGGTTTTTTTACAGGTTTTTACCGGCTTTTTTAAAGCGTCTCCTGTCGTAAAGATCTGCCCTAAAACACTTGCGAAGTAGATGTCTCTGAAAAGGCTGACCTTAGTTTGTTAATTAGTAGAAGTGAAGTTTAAAAGTGTCCCCGACATGCGGTGTTTCTGCAAGTTTATAGGCTCTGTAAGTCTTTGAGGCTTCAGACGGATTCGAACCATCGATCTCCTGTTTACAAGACAGGCGCATTAACCACTGTGCTACAAAGCCTTGAGAAGGTTCTCGTGAGAAGAATGTGATTTTTTTTGTAACCATCTGTAGCGTTTTCTAATTTTAATTTTCATTAAGTTATCATTTTGCGGATTAGAGATACATTGTTTCTGTTTTGTTGCTTTTGTTCTCGTTTTTTGTTGGAAACCTTGCTTCTGCTGACCTGATATTCATTTTGTGTCAGTAGGTCGCTCAATTCGGCATAAGTCGCGAGGAAGCATTGAATCTCGTGGTTTTTTTACAGGTTTTTACCGGCTTTTTTAAAGCGTCTCCTGTCGTAAAGATCTGCTCTAAAACACTTGCGAAGTAGATGGCTCTGAAAACGCTGACTATAGTTTGTTAATTAGTAGAAGTGAAGATTAAAAGTCTCCTCGACTTGCGGTGTTTCTGCAAGTTTATAGGCTCTGAAAATCTTTCAGGCTTCAGACGAATTCGAATCATCGATCTCCTGTTTACAAGACAGGGCCATTAACCACTATGCTACAACGCATTGAGAAGGTTCTCTTGAGAAGAATTTGAGTTTGTTTTTTTTGTAACCATCTGTAGCGTTTTCTAATTTTAAGTTTCGTTATGTTTCTTTTTGAGGATTATAGATACATTGTTTCTGTTTTGTTGCTTTTATTCTCGTTTTTTGTGGGAAATCTTGCCTCTGCTGACCTGATATTCATTTTGTGTCAGTAGGTCGCTCAATTCGGCATAAGTCGCGAGAAATCATTGAATCTCGTGGTTTTTTTACAGGTTTTTACCGGCTTTTTTAAAGCGTCTCCTGTCGTAAAGATCTGCCCTAAAACACTTGCGAAGTAGATGTCTCTGAAAAGGCTGACTTTAGTTTGTTAATTAGTAGTAGTGAAGTTTAAAAGTGTCCTCGACATGCGGTGTTTCTGCAAGTTTATAGGCTCTGTAAGTCTTTCAGGCTTCAGACGGATTCGAACCATCGATCTCCTGTTTACAAGACAGGCGCATTAACCACTGTGCTACAAAGCCTTGAGAAGGTTCTCTTGAGAAGAATGTGAGTTTTTTTTGTAACCATCTGTAGCGTTTTCTAATTTTAATTTTCATTAAGTTATCATTTTGCGGATTAGAGATACATTGTTTCTGTTTTGTTGCTTTTGTTCTCGTTTTTTGTTGGAAACCTTGCCTCTGCTGACCTGATATTCATTTTGTGTCAGTAGGTCGCTCAATTCGGCATAAGTCGCGTGGAAGCATTGAATATCGTGGTTTTTTTACAGGTTTTTACCGGCTTTTTTAAAGCGTCTCCTGTCGTAAAGATCTGCTCTAAAACACTTGCGAAGTAGATGGCTCTGAAAACGCTGACTATAGTTTGTTAATTAGTAGAATTGAAGTTTAAAAGTCTCCTCGACTTGCGGTGTTTCTGCAAGTTTATAGGCTCTGAAAATCTTTCAGGCTTCAGACGGATTCGAACCATCGACCTCCTGTTTACAAGACAGGCGCATTAACCACTATGCTACAAAGCATTGAGAAGGTTCTCTTGAGAAGAATTTGAGTTTGTTTTTTTGTAACCATCTGTAGCGTTTTCTAATTTTAAGTTTCGTTATGTTTCTTTTTGAGGATTAGAGATACATTGTTTCTGTTTTGTTGCTTTTATTCTCGTTTTTTGTGGGAAATCTTGCCTCTGCTGACCTGATATTCATTTTGTGTCAGTAGGTCGCTCAATTCGGCATAAGTCGCGAGAAAGCATTGAATCTCGTGGTTTTTTACAGGTTTTTACCGGCTTTTTTAAAGCGTCTCCTGTCGTAAAGATCTGCCCTAAAACACTTGCGAAGTAGATGTCTCTGAAAAGGCTGACTTTAGTTTGTTAATTAGTAGTAGTGAAGTTTAAAAGTGTCCTCGACATGCGGTGTTTCTGCAAGTTTATAGGCTCTGTAAGTCTTTCAGGCTTCAGACGGATTCGAACCATCGATCTCCTGTTTACAAGACAGGCGCATTAACCACTGTGCTACAAAGCCTTGAGAAAGTTCTCTTGAGAAGAATGTGAGTTTTTTTTTGTAACCATCTGTAGCGTTTTCTAATTTTAATTTTCATTAAGTTATCATTTTGCGGATTAGAGATACATTGTTTCTGTTTTGTTGCTTTTATTCTCGTTTTTTGTGGGAAATCTTGCCTCTGCTGACCTGATATTCATTTTGTGTCAGTAGGTCGCTCAATTCGGCATAAGTCGCGAGAAAGCATTGAATCTCGTGGTTTTTTTACAGGTTTTTACCGGCTTTTTTAAAGCGTCTCCTGTCGTAAAGATCTGCACTAAAACACTTGCGAAGTAGATGTCTCTGAAAAGGCTGACTTTAGTTTGTTAATTAGTAGTAGTGAAGTTTAAAAGTGTCCTCGACATGCGGTGTTTCTGCAAGTTTATAGGCTCTGTAAGTCTTTCAGGCTTCAGACGGATTCGAACCATCGATCTCCTGTTTACAAGACAGGCGCATTAACCACTGTGCTACAAAGCCTTGAGAAGGTTCTCTTGAGAAGAATGTGAGTTTTTTTTGTAACCATCTGTAGCGTTTTCTAATTTTAATTTTCATTAAGTTATCATTTTGCGGATTAGAGATACATTGTTTCTGTTTTGTTGCTTTTGTTCTCGTTTTTTGTTGGAAACCTTGCCTCTGCTGACCTGATATTCATTTTGTGTCAGTAGGTCGCTCAATTCGGCATAAGTCGCGTGGAAGCATTGAATATCGTGGTTTTTTTTACAGGTTTTTACCGGCTTTTTTAAAGCGTCTCCTGTCGTAAAGATCTGCTCTAAAACACTTGCGAAGTAGATGGCTCTGAAAACGCTGACTATAGTTTGTTAATTAGTAGAATTGAAGTTTAAAAGTCTCCTCGACTTGCGGTGTTTCTGCAAGTTTATAGGCTCTGAAAATCTTTCAGGCTTCAGACGGATTCGAACCATCGACCTCCTGTTTACAAGACAGGCGCATTAACCACTATGCTACAAAGCATTGAGAAGGTTCTCTTGAGAAGAATGTGAGTTTGATTTTTTTGTAACCATCTGTAGCGTTTTCTAATTTTAAGTTTCATTAAGTTATCTTTTTGCGGATTAGAGATACATTGTTTCTGTTTTGTTGCTTTTGTTCTCGTTTTTTGTTGGAAACCTTGCCTCTGCTGACCTGATATTCATTTTGTGTCAGTAGGTCGCTCAATTCGGCATAAGTCGCGAGGAAGCATTGAATCTCGTGTTTTTTACAGGTTTTTACCGGCTTTTTTAAAGCGTCTCCTGTCGTAAAGATCTGCACTAAAACACTTGCGAAGTAGATGTCTCTGAAAAGGCTGACTTTAGTTTGTTAATTAGTAGTAGTGAAGTTTAAAAGTGTCCTCGACATGCGGTGTTTCTGCAAGTTTATAGGCTCTGTAAGTCTTTCAGGCTTCAGACGGATTCGAACCATCGATCTCCTGTTTACAAGACAGGCGCATTAACCACTGTGCTACAAAGCCTTGAGAAGGTTCTCTTGAGAAGAATGTGAGTTTTTTTTTGTAACCATCTGTAGCGTTTTCTAATTTTAATTTTCATTAAGTTATCATTTTGCGGATTAGAGATACATTGTTTCTGTTTTGTTGCTTTTATTCTCGTTTTTTGTGGGAAATCTTGCCTCTGCTGACCTGATATTCATTTTGTGTCAGTAGGTCGCTCAATTCGGCATAAGTCGCGAGAAAGCATTGAATCTCGTGGTTTTTTTACAGGTTTTTACCGGCTTTTTTAAAGCGTCTCCTGTCGTAAAGATCTGCACTAAAACACTTGCGAAGTAGATGTCTCTGAAAAGGCTGACTTTAGTTTGTTAATTAGTAGTAGTGAAGTTTAAAAGTGTCCTCGACATGCGGTGTTTCTGCAAGTTTATAGGCTCTGTAAGTCTTTCAGGCTTCAGACGGATTCGAACCATCGATCTCCTGTTTACAAGACAGGCGCATTAACCACTATGCTACAAAGCATTGAGAAGGTTCTCTTGAGAAGAATTTGAGTTTGTTTTTTTTGTAACCATCTGTAGCGTTTTCTAATTTTAAGT